CCGCCCCTCCCCGCAGAAGCCCCGCCTCCCCAAGCAGGAGCCCCGCCCCGCCCCGCCGGAGCTTCGCAGTGTCGGGTCTCCTGAATGTCCGTCCCTCCAGGACACTCCGTGGTCCTCGACTGGACAACTCCAAGGGAAGGGGAAATCATTGCCCTTCCAGGACGCCATATCCTTTGGACAGTGCTAGTTTAAACTTCTTCCGCGGCCGGACTCGGTGGCTCAGCCTGTAATCCCAGCATTTAGGGAGGCCGAGGGGAGTGGATTGCCTGAGCCCGCCGGTTCGAGACCTGCCCGGGCAACTTGGCGAGACCTCGTCTTTACAGTAAATCAAAAACTAGCCGGACGTGGTAGCGCGCCCCTGTAGTTCCGGCTACTTGGAAGGCTGAGGCGGAAGGATGGCCGGAGCCCAGCAGGTCGACCCTGGGGTGACCGTGAGTGTGCCACTGCACTCCAGCCTGGGCCACGGGGTGAGACTCCAACTCAAAAAAAAGAAAAATTCTTCCGCAGGCAGAAGAGAAATCTGCTTAGGAGACATCAATCACATCTCCTGACCCCACAGAGATGGGATAAGACTTCCAGTTCCCCGACTTTTAGGAGTCAGACAAACACAGGTTCAAATCCCAGTTCCTCCTCTTGCTTGCTATATGACTTCAGGCAAATCATTTTTCTTTTCTTTCTTTCTTTTTTTTTTTTTTTGAGTTGGAGTCTCACTCGGTCGCCCAGACTGGAGTGCAGTGGTCGCTCCCGGCCACCGCAGCCTCGACCTGCTGGGCTCCGGCCATCCTTCTGCCTCAGCCTTCCCAGTGGCTGGAATTACAGGCATGCGCTACCACGCCCGGCTGATTTTTTGATTTACTATAGAGATGAGGTCTCCCTGCCCAGGCGGGTCTCGAACCCGCGGGCTCAGGCAATCCACTCACCTCAGCCTCCCAAAGGCGCGGGATTACAGGCTGAGCCACCGAGCCCGGCTTTCTTTTTCTTTTTTAACCTAAGACATAGTCTCCCTCTGTCGTCCAGACTGGAGTACAGTGGCATGATCATAGCTCACTGCAACCTCCAACTCCAGGCTCAAGCCATCAGCCTCCCAAGTAGCAGGGACTACAGGTTTCAGCCACCACAGAAGCAGCTGGGTTTTCTGAGCCTCAATTTCCTCCTCTGTTAAATGGGGGAAATAATCTTTGCTCAGAAGATTTGGGGGATTAAATGAGATAATATAGGCATTGTGCAAAATACTTTAGTTGTTTTTGCACTGTAAAAGTAATAGAAGACATTTTAGAGACAGGGTCTTGCCCAGTTGCTCAAGGTGGAGTTCAGTGACTCGATCACTGTAGCTTCTAACAAGGTAGCTAGTCCAACAGGGGTGTGCCACCACACTCAGCTACTTTTTTATTTTTGTAGGGATGAGGTCTTGCTATATTGCCCAGGCTGGTTTTGAACTCCTGGCCTCAAGCAACTCTCCTACCTGGGCCTTCCAAAGTTCTGAGATTATGGGTGTGAGCCACTGCAACCAGCCCTAAGAGTAAAAGAAGACATTTAATCAGAAATAATAACAAAAGTTTAAAATAAAAGGAATAAGGCTGGGCGCAGTGGCTTAAACCTATAGTCCCAGCACTTTGGGAGATGGAGGCCAGAGTATTGCCTGAGTCCAGAGGTTCGAGACCAACCTGGGCAACTTGGTGAGACCTCGTTTCTACAATAAACCAAAAAATTAGCCAGGTATGATAGCGTGTGCCAGTAGTTCCAGCTACTTGGAAAGCTGAGGCAGAAGGATCGCCTGCACCCAGCAGGTCAAGGCTGCGGTAGCAGTGAGTGTGCCACTGCACTCCAGCCTGGGTGACAGAGTGAGACTCTGACTCAAAAAAAAAAAAAAAAAAAAAAGGAATATATCCTAATTAAGGAACATTTGATAAATAAAAAGAGAACATTTTTTTCTCACTTCCCAAATATGCTTACTACTCACATTTTGTTGTGTATCTCTCTAATGTTTATGCTGTTTATGGGTTTTTCTTTCAAGTTTTGATTTACAGTAAAGTGGCAAAAATAGTAGGGATTTCCCATATATTGCTCACTTAGTTTCAGTTCCCCTTAATGTCGCCATCTCACATTACCATGGTGCATTTGTCAAAACCGAGAAACCAACACTGGTACATTATTGTGAGTAAACTACAGAATTTGTTTGGATTTTATCTATTTTTCCATTAGTGTCCTTAATCTCGTCCAGGATACCACACTGCATTTAGTCATCATGTCTCCTGTCTGTGTTTGTTTCCTGGTTCTTCTTATGACCTTAACAAGCTCAATGAGAATTGGGAAAGTATTTCACAGAGTGTCCTCAGTTTGGGTTTGTCTGACGTTTTCCTCATGACTAATCTGGGGTTATGAATTCTAGCGGAGATGGCATCATACCAGGGCATCATCTTAGGGACCACATGACATGCCTACTTGGTATCACTGATGATGCTGTGCTTGATTGCTTGGTTAAGCTAGTGTTTTCAGGTTTTTTTCTATGGTCAAGTTGCTGCTTTTCCTTTTCCATACTCTACTCTTTGGAAACAAGTCACCCACACCAGTTCAACCTGAGGGGGAACTCAGGCGGGGGCATCCAAATACATTATTTGGAATTCTCATAAGGAGAATATGTCTCCCATTCATTCATTCATTCATTCATTCAATTTATTTACACCAGTGTGAACTCATATATATATTATACTTATAACTTAACATTGTGTTATTCATTTTGTTGCTCACATTGTTCTAACTTTAAGGGTTGGCTGGGACTCAGGTTGGTTCCTGGGTCCCTTTGACATGCCCCCATTGTTTGGATTTTCTCTAGTTCCAGGATCATCTTGTTTTTTCCCTGCCCCAGTCTTAAAACCAACCATTTCTCCCAGGAGTCCTCATTACTTTTGTTGCAGAATGGGCTTTAGAAACCAAAATCTGGGCACTGGGAATGCTCCTTGCCACTGGGCTGCTTATTGTTTTTGTTGTCTTTTTATTTCCTTATGTAAACACTTAATGCCCATCCCATGACCCAGCTGAAATCAGGCCCACTCCTGACCTTCAAGGAAACTTCAAATCCTTCCTTCCACTTTGCCTCTATCTTGTATTTCCCCAGGATCTAGAAAAGACAATTGTTTCTGGACACAGAGTGTACTTACCAAAATTAGTAGGCAAAAGTGTATTCGGATAGACATATTGAAACCATTTTCTTGCCATTATAATTTGTGGTTATACATTTATGTGTATGACTATTTGCTTAATGTCTCCTCAGCAACTAGACAGTTGGCTCTCGGTGGGCAGAAGACCAGGGTACATGTCTTCCTTGACCCCCAGGGCAGTCCAGACAATTGCATGGGCCTGGCACACAGCAGGTGTATAATAAATCTGTACCATTGATGACTGACTGAACAAACATGTGAAAAATACTTCCTCGGGATAGATTCCTGAAGTGGGATTTCTGGGTCAAAGGGGTGCTTGATGTTACAGCCCCTAAAGAGGGTGATGAAAGGCTGCTAGACCAGGTAAAACAAGGAAGGAGAAGGGCCTTTGTGATAGCTGAGAGGGAGGACACACAGAGGGCCCGGGCGCAGAAAGAGCATCTGCTAAGCCAAGGTAATGGGCAGAGGGGATTTTCCTATGTTTGCAGCAACACCAGAGGGTGTGACTCTGAGCTCCCACTCTGAGGATGCCCTGTACAGCCGTTCACCTGCTCAGTCCTCCCAGAAAACAAGTAAGGGAAACATTATCATCCCCACTTTACAGAGGAGGAAACTGAGGCTCTCAAAAGTGAAAAGATTTGCCAGAAGTCATACAACATGGAGACGAGGATTTTAACCCAGCTCTGCTGGGCTCCTCCTGCAGACCAGAGACAATGGCAATTCTTCATCTCTTTCCCATGTGTTTCAGCAGACCATGCAAACTTGATGGATTTCTGCTCAGTCCTGTTTTGTCCAGAATTACAGTAGAGGATGAAGAATAAAAAGATGGACTTTGGTGATAGACAGAGCTGGGCTCAAATCCTGGCTCCATCACTTCTTAGCTGTGTGACCTTGGGCAAGTTCCTTAACGTCTCTGAGCCTTAGGCCCCTCTGTGCAACGGGGACTGGCAGGGGCTGAGATATTGTTGAGAATGATAGTGTAACGTAACACAGGCGTGTGCACATCGAGTGCTCAGTGTCGACTGTCATTGTGTTTTTGTTTCCCCGAGAGCCACCTGGGCTCATCTTAGTTATTACTCTTCACATCCTGCTTTCTATTTTAGGAAACAAGACGTTTTACTGGGAAGCTGTCTTCCTTGCAGTTGTACAACGTGGAGAAACTGGTGTTTGCACCCGGTCTGCGGGTTGTCATGGGCCTCCCCTGGCTCTGCAAGAACCGAGTGCTTCAGAGAGGGAAGCTCAGGTTCCCACAGAACCAGACCAGGCAGGCTGGGGAGGAAGACCCTGGTAACTGCTGAGAACCGGAGTTCCTCATTCCATCAGCTTGCCACGTGGTGGTACCTCTGGGGATCCAGCACACCCACCAGAGCAGATGTCCTGCTTGTGGGTCCCTGGGGCTGTGATTGAGTCGCTCTCTCCCCATGCCCAGTGGCTTCATGGCACCCTGAGCTCCATAGCAACCACAGTGCAGAGAAAGTGCCGAGGAGCAGAGACACTCACAGCTCCTGGCAACGGTGATGGCCAAAGGTCTTGTCTTTCCTCTATTTTCTAGAGTTTCCATAACATGGTTTATGCAC